CCTGGGTGATAGGATGTTTTGCCAAAAAACTCTGCACGTGATATGATGTATGAGCAGGCATGTTGTCCATGATGAAGCTGCCAATCACCAGTTTCTCATTGATGCAGCCTTCTGAATCATCTGAATAGTTTCCATAGAAAAATGCTCAAGCTTAACACAAAATCTGATGCAGATTCATTGCTCTACTCACTCAGTCATTTTGAATGCGATGGCCACACAGTACACATGCTCACTCACCAGTATCTACCACGCCCACTGACTGGTACAGTGAAGTCGTCATTGTTCATGCGTGTGCATTCCAGTCTACTCTGCTTTGCTGCCAGGTTACATTGATGTTATGCAAACCATTCTCATTATATTAACAATGGCTGGACTTTTTCCAGACAGACCTCATATCTAAAACATCTGTTTAAAACACCTGGAGTTGTGTCCCTCCATGGTGTCTTGATCTGATCCACAGTCACATTCTCATTGCACCTCATTCTCAGAATCTCTGGAGAAGATGAGTGCCAGTCCCTTAGACCCCAGCCTCCTTTCTCACACATACACATACTCAACTGTTTCATTGTTCCTGTTTTAAATTATATCTTCCCAAATACAACCTTTCAAATTGGTGAAACTATATCCAGTAGAAATTTTTTGTTTGTTGTTTTTTTTTTGTTACCGAAGGAAGTTATTAGTCTTTGATCTTGTTATAGCAGAACATGTTATAAAAAAATTTACGTACCTTTCTGGTTTTGAGACTGACTTGAATAAGTGTGGATATTTTTGATCTGCTAATTCTAAGAGAAAAATGTAAAAAAAAAAACAAATACCATAATTGGAATCTCCATTGTTACTGGATTTAGCTCAACCATTCGGATAAAATTTAACTGCCCTAGTAATTTAGGAGAGTTGTCCAAAGAAACATACAGTGGCATTCATATATACATGTAACTTATATGACCTTAAGCATGTACTTGTTCAAGTGTGTATCTGTGCCCTGGCAGAGTGTGAGAATGGAAGTCACAAATCTGTTTTTCTTCGTCAGTTTTAGTTCCTGTTTGCCTCTCTTTTCATAGATGTTTGGCTGCATCACGTATGATTCTCGTGGGGTTTTTTTAAAATATTTTTGTATACCATGGTTCATACACAAAACCACTTATTCTTTACTTTATGCTTAACTTAAAGGAAATTCAAGGACATTTATGATGGTATGTGACTTAGGCTTTATCTCTCCCATGGAAGGTGATAGGACTCCTGTTTCCTATGCTTTTTCATTCTTTTAAGTCCTGAACATTGGACTCTGTTTACTGCAACACTGTAGTAGAACATATAGTACTCTAAAAAGAGTTTCATAGTTTAGTCTGAGTTCAGCTAAATGTAGCAGCAGCAGACTGGTGGGGTTTTTATTTTATTTTTTTAGACTGGATAGAATGCATTTTTTTTCTTACTGACCTTAATCATAATTATTTTGGTATTTTGTTTATTTTTTTAACTAGGAATAAAGCTGTTCGACTTAAAAATGAACTGGAGAATTTTACTAAGCAGTTTCTACATGCAAGCAGTGAAGAAGCATCTTAACAGTAGAGATCGCTTTGGTGATCATCATAAGAAAAAATGCAACTCGGATCATTTGGGACAGTTATTTTTATGAAATTATTTTAAATATGAATTGTACCCACTATACCTAAATAGCAAATTCTTGTGTAGATTCTGGTAATGATCTCAGGGTGTTTGCATTTTTGAAGAGTGTTACTATGTTTCGTTAGTTTTACTTTTAGGTAAAGAACAGGCTAAATTGTTTGATGTGTTAAAATGATGAATTAGTTAAAAGCAACAGAACCAATTATGTGACCCCTGAGGGGTGGGGCCTTGCTCTTACTTAGGGCTCTCTTTGTTTTTGATTTTGAAAAACTCTGCTTCCTGGCATCCAGGAGTTGGAGAATGTTCCCCTTCATCTTCTTTCTCAAAACTAATTTTTGATGTCACTTTAATGGGAATAGTCATTTTTTTGTTTTATATCTGCATTGCTCTAACCATCAAAAAGGAGTGTGGAATGTTCCCAAGTGTATTATCTTGCAAGTTACAGTCATTTTTGCCATTCTGGCAGGTATGTAAAACACTAATAAATATGTTGTTTTTTTACTCCTTATATTCCCATTAAAACTGATGTAAAGCGTATAAAGGTTTGTTCTAAATACTCTCTTCTAAAAGTTTTGGGGTTTGAAATATTTTCCCGATGTTTCTAAAAACCATTTCAGCTTTCGCTATGACAACAGTAAGGAAAGCTGTCTATATCAGTTTTGAAGTTTGAAGTGATAAAAATAGCCAGAAATGGAGGTCTGAATTTTGGATGGTTACAGTCATGCACAAGCTCTGTTCTTCAGGAGGCATTTGCTGAGGATACTGCTGGATTGTCCATCCCCCAAGGTGGCTTTACTTTTATTTAATTGTATGAGTTTGTATGGGCATGGTTAAAAATTATCACTATTTTTTAGCTTAATGAGATATTTATGGATTAAAGTATTGTGCGTGTTTGTATTAAAAAATAATAGAAACTTAATGTGGAAACATTTAAAAATGATATTCTAGGGCTTTGCTATGCAAAATGCAGCCTTGAGGACCACCAAATCAACATCACCTAGATACTTGTTAGAAATGCGCAATCACAGAGGACACAGTGCATTTGGCCAAATACGTATATATATATACGCTTCTTTTCTGTGGGAGAGATAATTTTTCAGGCTCTTTTCTTCTTTAAATACTCAGTACTTCCTTTTCTGTGCCTTTAAGGCTCCTGGATGCCATTCTGTCTTTTCACAGCAGGTGCAAAACTATTTTTCAGGATATTTTAAGGAAAATATTAGTTAGGCCATAGAAGTCTTTCAAAAAAAATATTTTTATGCCAATCAGATACTAGGATGAAGTGTCAAATCCAAATAAATATTAACTTATAGCTTTGTTGTTGCTTTACAACCAAAAATTGGTACCTGCCACCAACATGTGTGAATTAGGTAACAATTGCAACGTGAAAAACAGATGTCTAAGGCTGGGTACTGCTAATTTAGTTTACAAGCTCAAATCCTTAACTTTATACATAGTACTTGAATTTTTGAAACAGCATAGTGGTTTGGTGTCACCTCATTAGTATACTACTGTGGTTCTCAAAGTCTGGTCCCTGGATCAACAGTATCATTTGTCACCTGGTAAGAGGGATGCACTGAATCAAAACAGCTTTGGGGACCAGTGATCTGCTGTTAATAAGCCCTCCTGGTGATCCCGATGCACACTAACATTTGGGAACTCCTGCAATTGTGGCCCCGGTATAGAAATTTGTAGTAAGTTTTCCATCACCAGTTTGAATGCAGTTCCACCTGCTCTAGTTTGAAAATCTATGAATGTTGGAAATGGGACACTAAAATAATGAAACCCAGCCTTATGCCTAGAGGTAAGTGGCACCTACAGCCAAGCCTGTGAATTCTACAGAAATCATGTAATTTACAGTTGGTTTAGTCCAGAGTTACTGTTCACTGTGTGTGTTTGCAGGAATATTTATAAACTTTGTATAACCTCAAACTTTTTACAAAAGTACATTTTTTATAAGTGTGCAAACTTGCAAGGTGAAATAAAACTTGTTTGATAGTTGATCAATGTAGCATTTATACTGGCATGTAGTGAGCTTCACTCTTAATTTTTATGGTTAAGACTAAGCTATGTTGGGTGGACTGACTCATTTTTGATGGGATTACCTCATTTAGCGGGCCTGGCCATGTACTGAAAGCTTCCTCATTCATCCTTCTCCAAGGTTGTGGTGATGAAAGTAAAAATTTATAATCAACACTATAAGCAATAGAATGGTTTGACCTAAGGGAGCACCAGAGAAAGAATGACTTAATTCTGCTTTTTAATGAAAATCTGTGGTCCTCTAGGAGTAAGCTAACATAGCACAAAAGGATAGGTTGGGGGCACTATGATCTCTTCTTTGCTCTGTAGCCCATGACAAATGCTCGGATAAAGGAATGAGGGCTGAGCATGAAATATCAGACTTGGAGTTTAGTTCTGGCACTTAAATATGCCACATGAAACCTGGTTAAAGCACTTTATTGATTACAATATCAATTCACAGCCAACATTATTTCACAGAGCTACTGTACAAATAAATGAATCACTGTGCAAGGAAGATCCAAGAATACTGTTAAATCATGAGACAGATCCATCTTATGTTTGGTTTAAAGTCTAGTACATTCACCTTTCCCATAATCATACTACTCATGTTCCCATCAATTGGCCACAAGTGTGTACAAACCATTCTAAGTGAAGAGAAACATTTTAACCAGCTTAAAAACATTTAGATTTGGATGCCTTTGGGTAAGAAAATGCAAATGCTGTGTTTAGATGCTTCTTTGTAAAGAAAACAGGATAGAGCACCACTGTGTAACAGGCAGAAAAGTCTTCAAATATCTACCAAGTGTATCCTGAAGTTCTATTAATTAAGAAATGAATACTGTCTGATATAAATGTTTTGTTGGGCACACTGAACACCAGTTAAATAACCAGTTTTTTCATAATGCTGCATTATCATAACTCTTACAGGATCAGTAATTGGATTTAAGAAAAAAAGACTTAGGAAATTTTATCAACATGCAAACAAATTTGCTAAATACAAGGTGTACCATCTGTGATTAATAAATCACTTTTTAAAACAATACTTAGACATTCAAATACAAACCATTTTCATGAGTACCTATGGTAACCAATATTTTAAAATACAGCACTAAATTTAAGGCAACTCAAAATGGACGAGAGGAGAACTAGTAAAACGTACTTTACATTCTACTTAAACTAATTTAAAATGTCAATTTAATTCATTGTGCTACCCTTCCTCACAAGGAAGATGGTCTAGCTTGTGGGTCTTTTAAAAATTTGAACAGGAGAGGAGAAAGTTTAAAATTTTGCTTTCCACGATGGCAAAAAGGGAACTAGAAGCTGAACATAGTAATTAATTTTTGAAAAATGCTTTAATCCTGACTCACACTATAAAGTTTCTAGAAAGAAAATCTTCATGATTAAAATAATGTTTGGCTCTTGGGAGATTGTTTAATCAGTTTCCGTAAGTTTAAATACATCAACAAATAAGCCACAAGTGTTCAATTTTGCTACAGTTTTAAATATGAGACATCATTGTTAAAAATATAAACTTCCTGAAGCTTTTCTTCACTTTTAAAATGGACAATCTTAATTTAATATTAAATCTAAGAACACAGGAGGTCTGTTATATAATATTGCACAGTATTTTTTTAAATAATAAAAGTTTCATTTTATCACCTGGAAAAGTGAAGATCCATTTCTCTTTTAATAGAGTAAAACTGTCTACCACATATTCCAGAAGCCCCTATATCCGTTATGTCTAGGAGACTAGCTCTATGATTAATCAGTGTTAATCAGTTCGGCTGAATCTAAATTAAGGAGAACTGCCAGGTAGTATCTCTTGTATTTGAAATATTAAGCCCAAATGTTTGCCTCTATGAAGATGGAACTCATGGTGTGTGTAACCCTGGAATTACAGGTATAGAAATGTGAGCTAGGGAGGGACCTAGCTCATGGGAGCAAGAAGTGCTTTTCTTAGCAGGTTTTGGGATGATTTGGTTAAACACATGGCAGGTTACTATTAAGTTTAGAAAAGAATATATGCCTTTAAAATATTCTTATCAGATCTTTAAAAACTACTTTTTATGAAGTGATTACAAAGTCCACAAGTAAAACCTGTTTCTTACAAGGTAAAAGAAAGATTAATAGGCCTCAGATAACTGCAATATTCTTGATACAAATTCCTTCAAACTACATTTGGTCATATTTTTTTAAGTCTTCTAAAACCAAGATTCAAACTATACAGTTTCTATAAATTATATATCATTCTTTTTGATTTCAGGAAATCTCATTAAAACAACAGAATTAAGTAGACAATCAGCTGAATTCAAACTGCAAGTGAAAATATTTAGTAAGTGGAACCCATATTACTAGAAAGCAAAGGTTTAACTAGTAAGTTAATGCGGTAATGAGGTCATCGTTTGGCCATATGTACAGTTAGCCACAATCTTGGGTAGGTTCCAGTTGCCTAACACATAACTAATTATGGGAATTGCTTTTAAACTATGCATAGAAACTAGTAACATTAAATCATTTTTATCAGCATATTTAAGATCATAGAATTATAGTCTGTGTGCCTCTCTGACTAAAGTTTTTTGTTCCTAGAATAACTTTCAAAGTAGAGGGGAATACTCTATTTTGCACATGGCAGAAGTGTTTTCTTGACTAGGATTTAGGAATGAATTGCTGACCCACATGGCAAATCCTCACCCCCTTTTAGAAATGAATACATTCCTTTAAAATACTCTTGCCTAATCTTAAAAAGCTGTATATGAAGTGATATAAATAGCCCACAAACATTAACAGGATAGAGTTCATAAAAATGTGTGTATAAATATATTCATGCCTGCCAATCTATAAGTCTGTTACTTTGGCCCCCTATCTTCATCTTCCGTTATTCATTTTATTCTCTTTTTAATATCAATGATGTTAAAACTGACTTCATTATAGTTGGTATACATATTAGCACATTCACAATATAAAAATGAAAACTGACATGTAAAATTTGGAAATATTTAGGATTTCAGGTAACCTATCTCAACAGTAGCTGACACAGTTGACTGAGTTAACAAAACACAGTGCACCATGAAGCAAGACTAACAATCTTCCATTGTCAATCATTTAGATTTATTTGTAGGAGAAAATCCAAGGGGGAAAGTATCTGTTTAAATCCAGGAGGGCCCACTCTAGTAACAGACAACACATTATTACACCATTGACAAGCAGAGGAATGAATTGCTTAGTATTTACCTCTGATTCCTTTAAGAACTGCTCTTTGAATTTTTCTTTTGGCTTTAAAATGGACTCACTTGAATCTATGCATTTACTGAAGCATAGCGGCACCACTTAGAAACCAGTATTTTGTTTTAAGGGAAGAAAAGTCACAGAAGAACAGAGCTGCAATGTTTCCTCCTCAAACTCTGAAGGCACAGACAGTTTACATCAGGTCAGGTTTTCAGAGAATATAAATTCATAAAGTCACCTTGTCACAACTATATGCAGGTCTAATGACTGGTTAGATTTTACACTTTCAAAAAAGTAATGCCATCATGTTTCCTTAGATTTAGACACATACTGATGGAGAGCGTTGGGTAAAATTCTTCAGATGCAACAACAATGAAAACATTCGTCAATGTTCTAGAATAATGAGTGAACTACAAACTCAATTCTTGAATATGAATCAATAGTAAAGTCTTACTATTTAGAGGATTACTCAAAGTGTCATTTGATCATAATCTTTTTAAAATGCCAAGAACCATTTATATGTGATTACTGTTGTTTACCTATTAATAAAGTTTCTTATATATGTCTAAAGTTTCATAGGGAAATCTCTCTTCCCTAGCCTTCAGATCTATCTTCCCCTCAAAGGGATGAAAATTGAGCACTTAAATTGATAGGATGGCAAAAGATGCACCAGAAACTAATGATATTGAAAAGGACTCCCCTCAGGTACCTACCCTGTCAGCATTCTTAATACTTGAAGCAACCAGGAGGTCGCTTGAATTCAAGGAGACTTTCTTCAAAAATAAGGACACACACATAAGGGATTACTTCTATTACTGTGCCTGGTTCCTCCATTACAAAACTAAAAAATGTGACATTTCTGATGTATACAAAGTTAAAAACATAGTTCTTAAAAAATGCAAACACAAACATGAGAGCTTGCTATACTGGGTACATTTTGTTCTACACAAGGAAACAAATAGTAAAAGCAAAATTTCATCAAGGTTAAATTAGCTCAACTCAATACACTGGTCCTTTTGATTCAGCAAGCACCTTTGCCTTGTTTTTTTCATCATTTTTTCTGTTTTGTAGTTTACTGAAAGCTTCTTTTTGTATATAATAATCTCAATAGAAAAATCTTCAACTGCAAATATAAGGTAGAATTTTTTTTCACAGCTATAGGCTGCAGCACTGATTTCTCTAGATAACAACAGAGAACAGAAAACTTGTATGCACTGTTAATTCCAGATTCTAAGAAAACTGTCCCAAGAGCCTGTTGCCACAGCCATGCCATCGTCGGTTACACCCAAACAGCTGACACGGTTGTCATGACCAGCAAGAACACCTGAAAAACAAAAGTTCAGTAAAAAGTTAGCGATGGCAAGTTTTAGAATCAAACAAGTGTATGCACAGGTGATCGAGAACGTTACTACTTAAAAGCCACCAAGTTTCTTTTATTCTGGGTCCAAGTGCAGGGGTAAGCAGGACATGTAGGTAAAATTCAATTCTTTGTACTACATGAATTTTTGACGTGTGTGTCATATGTTACACATTTTTGAAAAATTTATTTCATAGTTATGCTTTCTTATATCTAGGACAACAGATATAGCTGGCTACATCTCTAATAAGCTCGTGCTACTCCAAATTTTGCCACTGAGCTAGGCTATTTTCAACAAAAACAAAATTTTCAATGTACTAGTCTTTTCCATAAAAACAATAAAAACATAAGAGCGAAGTTGCCTTATATCACCACTTCCAAAAATACCAACATGATTTATTTACTTTATTTGGCGAACCACCAAACACTGGAATGTTTCAGTTATAACTTTATGAAGCCATTAAACTGATAGTTTTAGTTTCATTTGTTTTTTTAAGTATATTTTATTGATTATGCTATTATAGTTGTCCTAATTTTCCCCCTTTGCCCGCCTCTGCCCTGTACCCCCGCTTTCCTCCAGCAATCCTTCCCCTCCTTAGTTCAAACCCATGGGTCATGCAATTAAGTTCTTGGGCATCTCCATTTCCTATATTATTCTTAACACCCGCTGTCTATTTTGTACCTACCAATTATGCTTCTTAATCCCTGTACCTTTCCCCCTATTCTTTCCCTTCTCCTCTTGCAGCTGATATCCCTCCATGTGATCTCCAAATCAATGATTTTGTTCCTGTTCTAGTTGCTTAGTTTTTGTTTTTTAGATTCAGTTGTTGATATTTGTGAGTTTGTTTTTTTCCTGTTCAGAGTTTTGATCTTCTTCTAAAATAAGTCCCTTTAACATTTCATATAATAAGGGCTTGGTGATAATGAACTGCTTTAGCTTTACCTTGTCTGGGAAGCACTTTATCTGCCCTTCCACTCTAAATGATAGCTTTGCTGGATAGAGTAATCTTGGTTGTAAGTCCTTGCTTTTCCTCACTTGGAATCCTTCTTGCCAGTCCCTTTTTGCCTGCAAAGTTTCTTTTCAGAAATCAGCTGAGAGTCTTATGGGAACTCCTTTGTAGATAACTGCCCTTTTCTCTTGCTGCTTTTAAGATTCTCTCTTTATTATTTGTATATTAATGTTGCTATTCTGATTACCAGATGGCAGGTTAAATGAAATATTCCCAAATATTTGGGAGGAAAATGAGAAATGTAAAGAAAAAAATAGAATATACCAAATTTTCACAATTTTTAAAAAACATTGTGTTGAGTTTTTGTTCTCTCTCTATATAAATAAGAATATTTTCATCCACTCTCAGAAACAGAAGTTCATCTTCTCTAACTTAATATTCTCTGTATCACATTTAATATGGTAACATTTAGCAATGGGCAAATTTACGCATAACATCTATCAGCAGTTCCCCTACAAAAGCCTGGCCAGATTGTCCTGTGAGGTGTGTAGGCAAAACACCCCAACCCTGTGCACAGGGCTTTCCAACAGTTTGAGCGCTTTACTGTTAAGTATCAATAACAAGCTAAGAATCACGAGAGTTTTAAGAAACTCTTCTAAAAATAAGGACAGGAGACTAAAAAAGGGAGGAGGGGAAGCAACTTGGGAATCATAAAAGATCATGTTTGAAGAAAACTTCAAAAAAGGTTTTCATTAATAACTTCAGAGACACAAAAGGCTATTTGTCAAACAAAGAATGGAGGCCTTAACAACAACAAAAAATCTCAAAAGAGTGATAGCAAAAATGAAAAACCAGAACTTAACAGAGGATCATTAAAAAATAAATAAATAAAAGGTAAGGATTTCTTCAACACTGAAGAAAAAAAGAAGGAAAACAGGAGAGAAGTTTAAGGAAAGTCCAAGGAAATCAAACATCAGAATAATGGAAATTCTAGAAAGAGAATGATAATGGAGAAGAAATGCTAGCAATTAAAAAACACCCCCAACCTTCCTAGTGCTACAGGGTGCAAGTTGCCAGATTGGAAAGGTCCACTGAATACCCGACGCAGTGAATAAAAGGGGATCCACTCGGAGACATATCGAAACTTGCAGAAGGGTTGAAGATTAACTAGTGAGAAGTGCATCAGAAGTAAGAATAAGCCAAAACGTTAATTTAACCCTAGATTATATGAAAAAGATGCACAGCAAAAGAACTCATAGTATATAACTCAGGGCTCAGCACTAAGTACTATGTAAAAAAAGTCACAATCATGTAAACTCTGATATCTCAACAAAATTCACAAAATGGGAAAAGTTGGACAACTGGAAGGATGTGGCTCGGTGGATTGTAAGGGGAGGAATGATAAAGCCAAACCCTCAACACTTAATACCTAAGAGTTAGGCTACTTCTGGAAGCAGAAAACATGGATTAGTGTTAGAGAACTGCTGTGCTTTCGTAACATGCCATGTAGAACTATTCGATTCCTTAAGTATAACTTTAATTCTAAAAAAAATTAAATCATCCTATGTAATTTGTGACATTGTCCCCAATGACTCGATGTGTATATTAACATTTTGGAAGCTGCAGGACAGAAACTCAGAGTGTGGGGCTAGGGAAGGCAGTGGTTCCTGTCCCAGACAAGATCTGTTCCAGAAGGAAGATGGTCTGTAGAAGTTACAATGTTTCCTGTCAAGGTTATAAAAAAACTAATTTCGAAAAGACTACACTAAATTATATTCACTGTTCATTTTTATATCAAAACTTATTACACAAGAAAATATGCACACACACTTGCATGTGCACTTTCTCACACACATACATGCCTGTGTCTTTCCACACCCCCCCCCCTTTTTTCCCCAGGGCACACTCTTTCTCCCTCTCCGGAGCACATCTCTCCTTTTCTCTCACTGCTGTACCTTTGCTCTCTTTCTTCTAAGCTCCACGGGACTTTCTTTTGCTTCTGTAACTTACTACCTGCGCCCACGCAACCCAGCTGGCTCACTTTTTCTACCTCTGTGACTTTCCAAATAAATTTTCACTTGTATTTGAAAAAAAAGAAAATATGACAGAATTACATGTTAAGTCTTCAGGAAACAGAAATGTAACTTTGGTGTGTGGACTGTAACCGAACTCAAGGGGCAACAAGGACCACGAGTAAGAGCTGCTGGGCTGCCATTCCCCACATCCAGGGTGTCCAGGTGCCTCAAACAACAGGTGGAAACCTCTTCATGTTCCCAGACAAAACCAAAACATAATGTGCACTTAGGTACTAACCTGCACGATCTCCTTTTAGTGTGTCCCACACGTTACAATTAAAGTCATCATAACCAGCTAACAGGAGGCGCCCACTTTTCGAGAAGGCTACGGAGGTGATTCCACAGATAATGTTGTCATGAAAATACATTAATAACTCTTGGTCTGCACGCAGGTCAAAGAGACGGCAAGTGGCATCATCAGAGCCAGTGGCAAAGGCATATCCACTTGGAAAAAACTAGAAAGGAAAGCAACAAACATTTATTCCACAGACATACAAAAAAATCACATGAGACAGTGTAATAATACACTGGGGTAAAACAGACCTAGATTCAAACTCCAGCTTGGTTTATTACCAGGTGACTGCTATTGAGCACTGAAGATTCTCAGATACTTTGGGTCTTCCTTTCAGTTTTAGAGTGTTGCTTAGGATTGAATGAAAGAGCATATGCCAAGTACACACCTTATTGTTTAGCACAGCAAGTATTCCATAAGTACTGGCTCTGGTCTTATATGTCTTATTAAAATATTTCAATATAAATATTATTATTTATGGAATTTATATATATTTACTCTTAAAGAAATGTTGCAAAATCCCATTATGAGAAATAAATAGGAAAGATTTTATAAAAGAGGACATGAATCATTCCAGCTAGGCGACGTTACAAAGTTAAGCTAGTAGTAAAGAAAACTACACATTACTTGTTTGTGAATCCCTTTTCACAGATACTGGTGCTACTCAATAGTGATTCTCTTATAAAGGGGAAATAACTTTTAGTCATATATTTAATGGCTATCTGTATTACTTTTGTGAACTAATTGTTCATATCTTTTGCTTGTTGTTCACTGTGTTGTTAGTACTTAATTTGTTGATATATAGGAATAAAATAAAGAACAAATTTGTTTTAAATATTATTTTATAGTTTATCATTTGCCTTCTAATATTGTTTATGTTTAAAAAAAACAAAGCAATTTTTAATTTCTATGTAGTCAAATTTGGTTATCTTTCTCTTTGAGGTTTATTTAATTTTTTATAAACAAAGTCTGTCCTTCCCAGACTATTATCTGATGTTCAATTATATTTTCTTCTAGTTCCCTTTATAATAATTTCATTTTTCACATCTTAATTTTTACCCATCTGGTAGTTATTTGGTATATAGCATTCAGTGTAAAGATCTAATTTAATTTTAAGCAATTGTCCTAGCTGCTAAATAAATATTTTTTCTATTCATTTTGTTGCTACATCTATAATTCTCTAAATTCATATACTCAGGAAGTGTTAGTTTTGAGTTTTCTGTCCTTTTTTTTTTTTGTACCTGTATCACACTTTTAAAAAATAATTATAACTTGATAGTAAATGTTATTATCTGGCATGGCAACACAATTTATTCTGCTTCAAGTCAGTCTGTCCTCCCTTTTTGTCCTACTTGAATTTCACAGATATTTGATCAAGTCTCTTTTCTCCATATTCCTCAGACTCATCTCAAAAAAATTCATTTGGGCCTGGATTAAAATTTGTGTTAAACCTAAAAATTAGTTTGAGGGATAAATGATTGTTTTCAGATATACAGTCTTCCTATTCAGGAACATGGAATTAAAAAAAAATGTTTACCAATAGGGTTTTATGACTGTCTTCATTTAGATTCTGCACAGTTCTTACTAAATTTATTCCTTGTCTATTTTATTTTTGTTGCTGTTCTCAATAGGATTTTCTTCCTTTTTTCTCTTCTATCTGCCTATTATTGGTATAGCAAAGATTGATTTTATAATACTTTTTGTAATCCAGAGAATACACTGAACTCTTGGGATATCTAAATAGCTAAACACATCGCCTGCAAATAATGGTATTTTCTTCTACTTTCTAAATGCAACTCTTATTATGTCAGTTTTGGGTCTAAACTATAAAAGGCAGGAATCATCAGACTATGAAAAAGCAAGACTGCCCTGACCAGTGTTGTTCAGTTGGTTAGGCATCATCCCACAAAGCAAAGGGTCCCTGGTTCAATTCCCAGGCAGGGCATCTGCGTGGGTTACAGGCCAGGTTCCCGGTTGGGGACATGCAAGAGGCAGTCAATTGATGTTTCTCTCACACACCGATGTTTCTCTCTCTTTCTTTCTCCCTCCTTTCCCCTCTCTCTGAAAATAAATAAAATCTTCTACTTAAAAAGTAAAAGAAATGAAAAAGATATGCCTATGCTAACACTAATCAAAAGAAAACTGGAGTATTTCTATTAATATCAAAGATTTCAGAACAAATAACATTTCCAGGGATAAAGAGGGATATTTCATAATGATAAAGGAAACAATTCATTAATAATAATTCTAAAGGTTTATAGTTTGAAATATATGAAGCAAAAAACTAGTAGATTGCAAGGAAGAATGGACAAATGCACAATTGGAGATTTCGACACCCCTCTTTCAATAATGAATAGAAATGACAGACAATAATCAATAAGAAATAGAAGACTTGAATAACAATTTCAACCATTTCGACCTAGTTGACATCTATGAAACTCTCCATCCAGTAACAGCAAAATACAAATTCTTTCCAAGTGCATATAAACACAATACATAAAAATCTGTGGAATGTGGCTAAAAGCAATGCTTAGAAAGAAATTTATAACTTTTAAGTTCCAAAATTAGAAAAGAAAAATGCTTCAAATCAATGGTGTCACCTTCTACCTTAAGAAACTAGAAAAAAGGGTTGGGGGAGAAACTAGAAAAAGGAAAACAAATGAAATCCAAGGAAGCAGCAGAAAAGAAAAAAACAAAGATCAGAGTGAAAATCAATGAAACAAAACAAAATAGAGAATATCACTGAAAACAAAAGATGGTTTTTTGAAAAGATAAATAAAACTGATAAACCTCTAGCCAAATGTGTTAGTTTGCTAGGGCTGCAGTAACAAAGAACCACAGACTGGGTGGCTTAAACAGCAAATGTATTGTCTCACAGTTCCGGAGGCTAGAAGTCTGAGATCAAGGTGTCCGGGGGCTGGGAGGGAAGGATCTGTTAGGCCTCTCTCCTTTCCTTGTACGTGCCTGTCTTCAGCCTGTACCTCTTCACACTGTTTACCCTCTCTGCTTGCTGTCTCTTAAATGTCTCCTTTTCCCTACGGACACTGGTCACATTGTATTAAGGGCCCCTAATCCAGGCCATCTCAACTAATCGTATCTGCACAACCCTATTTTCAAGTAAGGTCACATTCTGAGGTTCTGGAGGTTAGGACTTCAACATAAAATTTTGGAGGCATACAATTCAACCCACGACACCAGAAAAAAAACTAAGACAAATTACCAATATTATGAATGAGATATCCTACAGATTCAATAGATATCAAAAGGATAATGCAGGAATACTGTGAACAACTTGAATACACTTGTAGATAGCCACCTTGTTTCCTCAGGATAATATATCTCTCTAAATCTGGAAATGCAACTTATTGTCCACCTGCAAATAAAGACCTGTGGATAAAACCTTTCTGGGTTGTTTTTTTAACCGACCCTTATTATTTGGGAATTCAATGTTATATGAGAACATTATTTAAAAAATCCTTGAAGGCAATTTGTTGTGAAAATCATGCTATAGGGTTCAGCACTTTAAATGCACAATAAATTTCCCTTAGAAATGCTATTCACTTACACTGACAGCATTAATATCTGACACATGTCCAGAGAAAGACTGTCTACACATTCCATCTCGAATATCCCATAACTTGGAGGAGGCATCGCAAGCGCCAGAAACAAAAGTCCTCATGTCAGGACTCAGAGAGAGGCTCATCACATCTCCAGAATGGCCAGTGAACGTGGTGGTCTGCTGGGCAGTTTCGATGTCCCATAAAGCACTGTAATCAGAAATGAATAAAAATAATGATGCTCGTATCTTCTTACATTAGTTCCTTCTACCACCCTCAACCCCCAAATCAGTGTTCTGGAATAAACTTACCAATTTGTATCTCCTGAACTGGTAACAATTTGGCTGTCATCTAAGAAACGACAGCAGGACAAGTAGCCTACAGCATAAAGAAAAACATTTCAGGTTATCCTTGATTAAATGACTGAATGAGCATATGAAATACTAATGTATATATATATATATTTCAAATGACTTAGATTTAATCATCGGAAGCAAAGTAAATGGAAAGCTTACAATAGAGAAGAATTACGTGTCAGTGCCTTTTGCAAACTGAGCTGGGACAGAAAGGGACTGGGGCTGCCCCTCAACTTGATCCCTTCCAAACAAAGACATCCACAGTGTCCCTGGCAGTCTGGCTCAGTGAAGGGGGAGACCGGTGGCTCTGTGTGTCAAGTTGCCCACCACTCACTCCTGGCCAGCATCAGGAGCCCCACCTCGCCGGCCCTGGTCATCACCCTTCTTTTTGTGGCCTGAGACGATGTCATCAGTCCGCAACAGCAGAACTGCCGTCTCACCGCTGTCTTGTATGTTTGCAGTTTCACAGCCGATGGCTCCCAGATGCCCAGTTCTTTCATGTCCACCAAAGTACCTGTCTCACCATTGACACCCCAGGTCTCACAGTTCTCCTGCATATGCTTGGCTCGAAGGGAGGTAAGTAGATGAATGGTGCTAGCTCCACGGTTCTGGATAAGGGTACGAGGGGTGACCTCCAGGGCCTGGGCAACAGCTCTGTATGGCCACTGCTCCACACCAGTCATGGCCTTGGATTTTTCTGTCAAGGCATGGGCCACAGCCATCTCACATGCCCCACCCCTGGCACCCGCCGAGGGTCCAGGAGAACGTTGCGGCACCCTTGCATGGCATCCTGGAGGTTGCATTCTACTTCCGAGAGAATCTCTTTGCTGGCCCCCCGGAGGAGGATGGTACAGGCCTTGGGGTCTTTACACTCAGTGATAAATGTAAAGTACTCATCTCCAATTTTCTTGATTTCCAACAGGCCTGCTCCTGTCCCAACATCGTCTTCCCTCAGCTCCTCTGGTCGGCTGACTATCCGGGCCCCACAAGCTCTAGCAATGCGATTATTGCCTATCTTCCGGACTCTGCAGATGGCTGTGATATTGGCCTGCATGAGGTAGTGCTGAGCTAAATCTGAGATGCCCTTTTCTGTGATAACCACATCAGGCTTCAGGTGAATAATGTCTTCACAGAGCTGCTGGATGTATTCTTCTTCCATCTGTAGGATTCGGGTGAAATCTTCCTCTCGTGTGATCTCAATGTCAGTCTGGCTTTCTCCTTTCTTGTATTCCAGAGAAGAATCCAGCAGCACAATGTGAGGGTTCTTGATATAGCGCCACATTCGTGGATGGGTCACATCTTTGTTAATCATGACTCCACGTAAAACACATGGATCTTCAATGATACCCCCAGGTATCTTTTCTATCCTCACATATTTCTTGATGTCAATCTCCTTCCGGCCATTCTCCTCAAACTGTACAGTTTTGACAGCATCCAGGGCAATGTTGCAAGCCAATGAGGACCACTGACTGATTGCTTTGGTAGTAATGGAGCTGTTGATAATGTTCAGCATCATATCTTGATTACTGATGTCGACGGGGGTACTAATTTTATTAAGGGTGCTGATCATATCATCCAATGCCTTTTGGTAAGCACTGATCACCACAGTTGGATGCATCTGCTGCTCTAGGAAGTACTCAGCCACAGAAAGCATCTCCCCAGCAAGAATAATTACTGATGTGGTCCCATCTCCAACCTCTTCATCCTGTGTCTGGCTAATTTCAATCATGGACTAGGTTGCTGGGTGCTGAACTTGAATCTCTCGAAGAATGGCATTGCCATCATTAGTCATCACAATGCCTCCCACTGGGTCCAAAAGCATCTTCATCGTAGACTTGGGTCCCAAACATGTTCGGATGATGTCTGCAATAGTCTTGGCAGCACTGATGTTTCCAGATTGAACTTTTCTTCCAGATTAACGCTTTGTGTTCTGGCTGAGCACGAGCACGGGACGATGGTCCATCATGGAGGCGCAATGCAGAGCCAGGTACCCAAGAGCTGAGGGAAGAGGCAGAAGCTTCTCTATTCTTAAAAATATAATACCTCGGCAACAGTGTTTGTTAGTACAATCTATAGTTCTTTTATTTATTTATTTATTTATTTATTTTTAATTAATTAATTTATTTTTTCAAATACATTTGTCCCTGCCTTCCCCCCACCACTTTCCCTTGCCCCCTTCCCCCCTCCCTCAACCTTTCTCCTTTGGTTTTTTCCATGAGTCCTTGCCATATGTTCCTTGACTTGCCCTTTCCCTTCCTTTCCCCCCTGCCCGTCCCCGCTCCTTCCCTCTTGTCTCTGTTGGTTTCCTTTCCTTTCAGTGTTGCTGGTCTTATTTTCCTTGCATCTTTGTGTTGTTGGTTAGGTTCCACTTATAGGTGAGATCACATGGTATTTGTCTTTCGCCCCCTGGCTTATTTCGCTTAGCATAATGCTCTCGAGTTCCATCCATGCTGTCGCGAAGTTTAGTAGTTCTTTCTTTCTGCTGTGTAGTATTCCATTGTGTAAATGTACCATAACCTTTTGATCCAATCATCTACTGATGGGCATTTAGGTTGCTTCCAACACTTGGCTATTGTAAATTGTGCTGCTATGAACATTGGGGTGCATAGGTTCTTTTGAATTGGTGTTTTGGGATTCTTAGGGTATAGTCCCAGCTGTGGAATTGCTGGATCAAAAGGCAGTTCCATTTTCACCTTTTTGAGGAAATTCCACACTGCTTTCCACAATGGCTGCACCAGTCTGCATTGCCACCAACAGTGGACTAGGGTTCCCTTTTCTCCGCAGCCTCGCCAGCACCTGTTGTTTGTTGATCTGTTTATGATGGCCATTCTGACTGGTGTGAGGTGATACTTCATTGTGGTTTTGATCTTCATTTCTCTGATGGCTAGTGATGCCGAGCATCCTTTCAAATGTCTCTGGGCCCTCTGTATCTCCTCCTTGGCAAAGTGTCTGCCCAGGTCCTTTGCCCATTTTTTGATTGGATCATTTGTCTTCCTGGAGTGGAGTCGTGTGAGTTCTTTATATATTTTGGAGATCAAACCTCTATCTGATGTATCATTAGCAAATATATTTTCCCATACAGTTGGCTCCTTTTTCATTTCGCTGATGTTTTCTTTAGCTGTGCAGAAGCTTCTTATTTTGATGAGGTCCCACTTGTTTATTCTTGCCTTTAAGTCCCTTGCTTTAGGAGACATATCGGTGAAAAAATTGCTGCGTGAGATATCTGAGTTTCCTGCCAATGTTCTCCTCTAGGACTTTGATGGTGTTGCGACTTATATTTAAGTCTTTTATCCATCTTGAATTTATTTTTGTGTATGGTGTCAGCTGATGATTCAATTTCAATTTTTTGCATGTAGCCATCCAGCTCTCCCAACACCATTTGTTGAAGAGGCTATTATTGCTCCATTTTATGCTTCTGCCCCCTTTGTCAAATATTAGTTGCCCATATAGACATGGGCTTATTTCTGGGCTTTCTATTCTGTTCCATCGGTCTATGGGTCTGTTTCTGTGCCAGTACCAGATTGTTTTGAGTATAGCAGCTTTGTAGTATAGTTTGATGTCTGGTATTGTGATCCCTTCTACTTTGTGTTTCTTTCTCAAAATTGCTGCAGCTATTCGGGGTCATTTATGGTTCCATATAAATTTGTGAAATGTCTGTTCTATTTCTGTGAAATACGTCATTGGTATCTTAATAGGGACTGCATTGAATCTATAAATTGCTTTGGGTAGTATGGACATTTTGATGATATTAATTCTTCCAATCCATGAGCATGGTATATGCTTCCATTTATTTGTGTCTTCCTTAATTTCTTTCTTCAATTTTGTATAGTTTTCTGCATACAGGTCTTTTACCTCCTTGGTTAAATTTATTCCTAGGTACTTTGTTTTTCTTGTTGCTATATCGAATGGTATTTTTTTTCTGATTTCTTCTTCTCTTTCATTGCTGGTATACAAAAATGCCTTTGATTTCTAAATATTGACTTTGTATCCTGCTGTTTTGCCAAATTCACCTATTAGGTTGAGTAGTTTTTTGGTAGAGTCTACAGGGTTCTCTATGTACACTATCATGTCATCTGCAAACAATGATAGCTTTACTTCCTCCTTTCCTATTTGGATGCCTTTTATCTCTTTCTCTTGTCTGACCGCTGTGGCTAGGACTTCCAATACAATGTTGAAAAGAAGCAGTGAAAGTGCACATCCTTGTCGTGTTCCCGATCTTAGTGGGAAAGCTTTTAGTTTTTGCCCATTGAGTATGATGTTGGCTGTAGGTTTTTCATATATGGCCTTTATTATGTTGAAGAATGCCCCATTTATTCCCATTTTGCTGAGTGTTTTGATCATAAATGGGTGCTGTACCTTGTCAAATGCTTTTTCTGCGTCTATCGAGATGATCATGTGGTTTTTGTCTTTTCTTTTATTTATGTGATGTATTACGTTTATTGACTTGCGTATATTGAACCATCCCTGAATCCCTTGGATGAATCCCACTTGATCATGGTGGATAATCTTTTGAATGTATTGCTGGATGCAGTTTGCCAATATTTTGTTAAGGATTTTAGCATCTATGTTCATCAGTGAAATTGGCCTGTCGTTTTCTTTCTTTGTAGGATCTTTATCTGGTTTTGGGATTAGGGTGATGCTGGCCTCATAAAAAGAGTCTGGGAGTCTTCCCTCCTCTTGGATTTTTTGGAATAGTCTGAGAAGGACAGGGGTTAGCTCTTCCTTAAATGTTCTGTAAAATTCTCCTGTGAAACCATCCGGCCTAGGGCTTTTGTGTGCTGGGAGTTCCTTGATTACTGCTTCAATATCCCCAGCTGTTGTCAGTCTGTTCAGGCTTTCTGCTTCTTCTTCACTCAGTGTTGGAAGATTACACTTTTCTAGAAATTTGTCCATTTCATCAAGATTTTCAAATTTCTTGGCATATAATTGTTCATAGTAGTTTCTGACGATCCTTTGCATTTCTGTGGTATCCGTTGTTATTTCTCCTCTTTCGTTCTGATATTATTAATTTGGGTCCTCTCCCTTTTTTTCTTGATGAGTCTGCTTAAAGGCTTGTCAATTTTATTTATCTTTTCAAAGAACCAGCTTCTGGATTGGTTGATCCTTTGGATTGTTCTTTTCGTCTCTATGTCATTCAGTTCTGCTCTAATCTTGACTATTTCCTTCCTTCTACTTGTTCTGGGATTTATTTGTTGTTGTTTCTCCAGTTCTTGAAGTTGTAGTGTTAGGTCTTTTATTTGAAATGTTTCTATCTTTTTTAGGTAGGCCTGTATTGCTATGAATTTCCCTCTCAGGACCGCCTTTGCTGTGTCCCATAGGTTTTGGACTGTTGTCTGTTCATTTTTATTTGTTTCCAGAAATTTTTTGATTTCTTCTCTTATCTCATTATTGACCCGTTCATTATATAGTTCTACTTTTAATTACTTCAGATGCTGTGCTGTCTGAAACTAAATTTTATCCACTAACTCTTTCCTAGGCATTTTCTGTGACAATGGCACCATGTTGGGCACACTGAAAGTTACAAGCTTGAGTAAAACCGCCTACCACAATTGCCTGAGGAGAGACAGATGCTCCTCTCAGCTATCTGTGATCTATGGCAGATGGGAGGAAGTACCTTGCAGAGAGATTAAAAGTGCTGTGAGAGATTAGAACAGCCACCCGAGAGCAAGCTTCATGAAAAAGGTGGCATCTGAATGCTCAGAATTCACTGGGATTTCAAAATAGGAAATGGCAGTAAAAAGCCATTGTAGAGAGTTTGTAATAAGCATGGTCAGATAACGTTGCAAAGAATTCAAAGAGGCAAAATCCCGAGGACTGGCAAAAAATTCCTAATTAACACTGCTTACCAAATGCTATACCACTGAACTCTGTGTGGTGTGCACTCTGGCAGATAAAGCTATGTGCTCTCAGTGAAAAATACTTCATAAGCGTTATCTTAATATATACTCCCAATTACATAACTAAGTATAGATACCAAAGTCCCATAATTGTTTTATGGTTGCAGAAAATACAGAAAATATTTGCTTGCTTTTTGTATTTTCATTATTGTTGGAATTTTCGCAATAAATTTATCATCTTTACAAAAGTACTACTTTTTCTAGGAAAATTGGGACAATATTCAGTGGCACTCACCTATATGACCGGGTAACTCTCGGCTAACTCTCACATTCCCCTCTCTGGTCTTTAAGTTATATATAGAACAGATGTTGTCCAGTCCTCCACAGGCGACAAAATTACCAGAGGGGGCATAGGCACAGGTCATCACCCAGGAGGACCTCAAAGGAATAGCATGCATCTGTGGAACAAACAGAATGCACAAAAACTGTTAGTAAGGAAGACACTCATTCAGCTTCCTAACCTATTTACAATGAAGCAAATATTACTAAAAATTGAGTGCATCTACAAATTAAGGCAAAATAGATAAGGAGTGCAATGGATTGAAAAAGGGAACAATGAAAAATATTAACGCATACCAAAATGCCTATTATTTTATTTTTTCTCTATTATAAATTATTTAACTGCTCTTTTCAGAAATTATTCTTTTAAGAGAGAAAGCAAGAACAAAGATATTTCAAGGCTATATAACAATTTGAAATGTTAAGTGTAAAATGTTAAAGATTTTAAAAATGTAATAAAATTCTCTGTTTTTGCAGTAGTGTGCAAAAGAGGAATTTCCTCCAACATATTATTAAGTAATACAAATACCAGAGTCAATTAAAATGGTTTTTCCATGAAGAGATGGTCCTTCTAATAACAGGGCACGTATTCTGGGCTCGAATTTAAACAATGGGAATAGTTTGCACTGATATACTCATACCTGTGTCTGGTGACTTCTTACCCAATACCAATCATTGCAAGTGAGGCCGCAAAATTTAAGGTGTACAGGACTAGCAGGGCTAAATGGTCCATACAAAGAATCAACACATTGTGTGATTACTACTGTGCTCTCACTTAACCTAAAATAATATTTTTAATACACAGGTTTTTTTTTGTTGTAAAAAAATATATAGGATTGAAAGACACATGCTCAATGCCAACTAATACAGAAAAACTGTTATAATGCAAATCTGTCTTAGCTACCTTTAAATTCTCTACCAGGCTGAAGACACTGTTTACCTCACAAAATAATACTTTTTAAACTTTAATTAAAAATAGTGACATAAGTGTACACAGACTCTAAAGGTATTTAACCTGTGCAAGTTTTCCTGAAGCTTTTCCACTACCACTCAACACCTACATGCCAGGGATTCCTTCCAGGGGACACGCTAGAGTGGCCCACTGGCTTTCACCAGCAAGAGATCTAAGCAAGTTGTGATTTGCCTCCAATTTACTGTCTCTTCTGAGGCACCCAGAAACACAAATCAATGCCTAGAGTGGACAAAGACAGCTTCACACTAGCATTCTGGCTTATCCACAAATAGAAATAAAAATCTCAAGGCCATTGTCACATTCAAAAATGGGAATTCCTTTACAAAATCATTTGTATGTAAAAGTGATGCATGCTGTTTTCTAGTATTCAAATAAAAAATATGAGAGTCTAGTAAAACATATTGAACAATATTTCTGCAGTTATTCTTGGGAATTAAAAAAGGGGCTAAATATTAAAACCAACACTAAGCCTCAAGAAAAGATCTAGATTAAAATAAATGGCATACATTTATCTTAGAAGGAAATTACAGTTGGAAGTAATAGAATAAAGGAAAGAACTGATGAACACCTTTTCAAATAATACATAACTTGAGAGAACAATTAAGATATTCTACCTTATTTGTTGTATAGCTATCCCAAATAATTAATTTTCCATCTTGAGAAGCACTGACTAGTAGCCTAGAGGAACAAACAAAAATAATTCAACACTTAGAGGAAAAAAGTAGTTTAAATTAGCCATATATTGCATTAATGTAGAGCAGTGCAGAAAAAAATATATGATTTTTCAAATTAAAAACGATACCAGAAAAATAATCTTCCCAGCTTTAAAAGAAATTTATTTTGTATGTCAAATTTTTCAACATAACATAAAATTTAGCAAAATTTACACATCGTACTAAAAATCTCTGTTATGATTCAACAATTTTGTGGTGACAGAAGTCTAGGTTCCTATTCAAGATTCTGGTAGCATTAGCTGACTGGTTTGTATTTAGTGATTTAAGTTTAATGACAATAGAGTACATGTAGGCCTAACAACCACATTTCATTTAATCAAAAATATCAATTGAAAGCCTGTGAATGTAGCGTTATGGGTACAACACAGAAAATACCTCCTACCTTTGAGGCCTCTACCATCTGGCAGGTAACATATTTATACGTATTTATAAGAAACTGAGTAAGTGAAAATTGTCATAGCAGTGGCATAAAGTTAATGCCAAAAGAAAGTAAAAAAGGGACAAAAATAGCTGCTATTTGAATTAATCAGGTAGTTTCGCAAAACAGACTGCCATCTCGGAAAAATGCTCCCCAGAGAGCTAAAGGTGGATGTGGACTTGCACCCTTAGTGAATTTAGGTAATAATTGCAGTCATACCCAGTGACTGTGAATAGCAATATTCAATAATATGTGCTTACTAACTGAAATTTCAATAGGACTGCTTTTGTATAGTAAATAACAAAGTATAATACCCAACTGTAAAGAAAAGAAATCCTAAACAGTTAACCTGGATAATTTGACCATGGATATTTCTGAGAGAGAAATTTATTTCCCATAGTAAACGTTTCTAAAGTTTTAAACTGTCACTGAATATTTTAACTGAAAGCAAAGTTTCATGTTAGATGTATTTTCTGCAAACATTTCATAAATAGTTTGTTTTTTAACTATAAAAATTATTTGTTTTAAAGGAAATGCAAAAGGTGATTCTTAACGACTGTAATTCTGTGGATAGGTTGAAAGTGGCAGGTACGAACCTTGAATCATATCCCCAGTGCATAGCGTAGATTTTGGCGAGGTGCCCTCTCAGTGTGCGTCTTGTTCGCATTTGTACCCGACCCACTGAATCCACATTTGATGTGATCTTTAGAAAGAGACAGGAATGCTGTTATTCTTTACTTTAGACATAGCTCAGGAAATAAAGTAGAAACAAGTAGTAGGCCAGAAATCTACACGAAAAACAAATTTAGAGCAACTGAAGGTAATTTAATATAAATATTACCAAAGAGTAATGATAGGATCAATATGTAGTTCAAGGAAAAGTATGACTGACTTAAAACTATGCCACTTGAATGCCTTCCAGTGAGAATATCTTCTGTAGACTATTAATTAAAAGGAACAGACATACCTTCCAACTTTAGTAAAAACTTTTTTTTAAAAAGCCCGCATAAAAATCTAATAGTGGATGATCCAAGACTAAAACCCTTATAATTTTAACTGTCTATAAGAAAGTCAGTTTCATATTTGTAAAGCACACAAAATACTTCCTTAATGAAAATTATTAATGTTAATTAAACTAATGAAACCTTCCTAAGAGTTTATATAATTAAAAAAGCTGCCCTGTGTGGTGTGGCGCAGTGGATTGAGCACTGGCCTGCAAACCAAAGGATCACTGACTGGTTGGATTCCCAGTCGGATTCCCAGTTTAGGGCACATGCCTGGGTTGCAGCCCAGGGCCCCAGTAGGGGGCGTGCACGAGAGGCAACCACACACTGATGTTTTCTGTCCCTCTCTCTCTCCCTCCTTTCCCCTCTGTCTAAAAACAAATAAATAAATAAAATCTTCCTTAAAACAAGCTTAATCAGAGTATATCAAAAAGAAACAAGAAGCTACCTTCAAAGGAACATATAAGAACCTACATATGTTTATAGCATATATTTTCCACAGACTTCTATTAAACAAGCATGCTTTTAAAAGCACTTTTACAGCATCTGACAAATTACAGCATTTTTAGAGATCTCGTTTTTTCAATTAAATACTAATGAAAAAAATCTGAATGTCATTTTCATTAGTGTGAAGCTGTATCATATGAATTAATAAAGTAAATTGAGGGGAGAAAAAAAAACTTTACCTGAACAAGTGTTGCATCATTACAAGCTTTCCTTGCATCCTGAAGTAAGGAAAGATGATTATAATGCATTAAGACATGGAAGTCACTAGACATAATTTAAAAAAATATTTTCATTGTAAATACAGATTTGCAAATGTATTTTATCCAGACAAAGTTCACATAACCACTTAGGTCATCTTAAGGTACATAATTCAGTGGTTAATATATTCGCAATGTTGTATAACGCTCACCACTACCTAATTCCAAAATATTTCCATCACTCCAAACAAAGAAACCCTCTTCCCCTGGCAGTCATTAATTTACTTTTCTAGCTCTACAGATTTGCCTATTCTGGACATTTGATAAAAATGGAATCATATGATAGATGACCTTCTGTGCCTGACTCTTCCACTTAGTATAATGTTTTCAAGATTCATCCATGTGGTAGCATATATCAGTGCTTCGTTTCTTTTTATGGCCAAATTAAAAAAAATTATCTTCTGGAGGGCGGGGCCCTGGTAGTACAGGCTTCCCTGGCTAGGTGAGTGTTCTAGAAACCCATCTGTATCAGTGTACAAGCTGGCATTGTTGTGAGAGGCTGCATCTGGCTTCAGCGAGTTTTTTCTGAAGACGCTTTCAGCACGTTTGCTCATTTCATGATGGGTGCTGTCTGAGCGCACCTGCCCATGCTGTGTTAAGTACTCGGCAGTTTTTGATCAAACACCAGCATGACCCCTGTGCCCCACCCTCCCTATTCACCCAATCTCACACCAAGGGACTTTTTTTTACTTCCCCTGGATAAAAAAAGTCCTTAAAGGGAAACGCTTTGCTGATGTGGAAGAGGTGAAATAAAAAACGGCAGAAGCACTAAAAGGCAGCAAAATCAATGAATTCAAAAACTGTTTTGAGCAGTGGAAAACACATCTCAATAGGTGTATTGTGTCAAATGGAGAGTACTTTGAAGGTGACTGAAGTTTAAACATGTAAAAATAAATACACAATTTTTTTATAAATAAATTCTCTTTTTGGGGGTCCCCTTCCTATATCACATTTGTTTTTCCATTAATTAACTGATGGACATTTACGTTGATTCTACTTTTGGGCTCTTATGAATCATAATGCTTGAAACATTCATGTACAGGTTTTTGTGTGTACATATGTTTTCAATTCTCCTGGGTATATACCTAGGAGTAGAATTATATATCTAGGGTATATGCCTAGGAGGAGACATCGTAACTGTTTGTGTAACTTAGAAACTGACAAATTTTTCTTCACAGCAGTGACAGTTTTATATTACCAACAGGAATGGATGAGGATTCAAATTTCCTCATATCCTCCTCACCAACACTGTTGTTGTCTTCTTTTTTTAATTAGTATTAGTACAGCCATCTTAGTGGAGGTAAAATTTTATCTAGTGGTTTTGACGTGCATTTCACTAATGATTAGTGATACTGAGCATCTTTTCATGTGGAATATCTTTACATGTGCTTACTAGCCCTTGGTGTATCTTCTCTGAAAAACTGTTTATGTAAGTTCTTTGCCTATGTTTTTTAAATCCTCACCCGAGGATATTTTTTATTATTAATTTTAGATAGAGGGAAGGCGGGGCAGGGGAAAGGAAAACATCAATGTGAGAGAGAAACATCAATCAGTTGCTTCTCATATGTGCCTCAACCACGGATCAAACCTTCAATCTTTTTGGTGCACAGGACAATGCTCCAACCCACTGCACAACACAGCCAGCTCTCCTTTGCCCATTTTTAAATAGGGTCACTTGTTTACAGTTGAGTTGCAGGAGTTCTAGTATTCTGAATACTACACCCTTATCAGAGATACGATTTACAGATATTTCCTCCCATTCTGTAGGCTGTCTTTCATCTTCTTGGTAGTGTCCTCTGACACACAAGTTATTAATTTATCTGTTTTTTCTTTTGTTGCTTGTACTTTTAGTGTCATATTAAACCGCTACCTAACCCAAGGTCACGAAGATTAACAATTATGTTTACTTCTAAGAATTTTACCCATTTCAGCTGTTATATTCGGGTACCATTTTGAGTTAATTTTTACACACGGTATGTGGTAAGAGTCCACATTCATTCCTTTGTATGTGGATATTCTGTTGTCCTGGCATCACTTCTTGAAAAGATTATTCTTTTCCTCTTGAACGGTCTTGTTACCCTTGTTGAAAAACATATCTGTGGCTAACTGATTTTTTAATGGACTCTCAACTGTATTTCATTGTGCAAAAATCTATTGGGTTTATAATTAAAAGATTTTAAAATTGTTTCCCCTGAGTAAAAACAAACTAAGTTGATTTAATAAGGCCTCGGGATTCACATTTATACTTGGTACTAAGCTTCAGCAAAAAGCAAGAGTTCTGAGTTCCCCTCTGTTTGTCCTGGCATCTAGAAGTTGAGGTGATAGGAAGGATATTGATAATGTATCCATAAAAAATACATTTTAGACATATTTTTAAAAATGCATAACACTTCTTTGAAAATGCTTTCCAAGGACACTGGATGCATATACTATTAGAAATAAAATAGTTTAGATTCAATATGAGAAAAAGACATGACATCTCAGGAAAAACAATTTTTATATAAATAGACACAGTTTATACTAAGTCACATCTATATTTTTACATTAGTAGCATTAATTAATAACATATAAGCTGGTGTTTATGCCTAAGCATTATAGGGTGGACTTTCAGACACCTTAAATTTTTACACAAATTGAAGAGAATTACCAAAAGGAATATAATGAAACAGAAATCAATATAACAGCGCTGACTGGTGTGGCTCAGTGGGCTGAGCGCCGGCCTGTGAACCAAAAGGTTGACAGTTCAATTCCCAGTCAGGGCACATGCCTGGGTTGCCCCGCCAGGTCCCCATTTGGGGGATTGCGAGAGGTGACCATGTATCGCCCATGCACTGATGTTTCTCTCCTCTTTCTCCCTGCCTTCCTCTCTCTCTCAAAGTTAATAAATAATATCTTTTAAAAAAAGAAATCAATATAACAAAATAAAGAAAGGCAGAGAAAGAACTTATGTAGTAAGCAACAAAATGTTTTAAACCAAGTTTATCAGTTAATAATAAATTTAGAGGATTCGTATAGATGGGAAAATCAGAAGTGCAATTAATTTTTCCTTCTAGACTTGAAGCAATGTTCCCCCCACCCCCAAGGTTAGGGTAGTATCCTTTTCAGCTTTGTTTTCCCCCACTGTGCTTAAATTAGCATGCTCCTGTGCAAAGCGGATACACACAGTATTTGTTGAATAAATGTCCCAAATGGAAAATGTTTTCCAGTTCAGCCCAGGGAAAAAAAAGCCTGCCTCCATTTGCAGCAAACACTAGGTGGAATGCACAATCTTTTTGGCTGCCCTTTCGACCTATTTATAAACACTTAAGAGTATTTCTATGTCAGGGTGTTATAAGTAGTTACACAAACATATGATTTGATTCTCTCTTTCTTAGTCAAATTGTGAGTTGAGAAACCTCATTTGGCATGGAATGATATAGCCCACTTTCCTGAAATGAAAACGAATTTCCAGAAATGACAGTGATGGCCAGAGCCATGTTCCAAAAATGGTGGACTTGAAGACTAAATTCTAAAAAGAAGGTTCTCTAATTTTAAGCTTTATGAAATGAACTATATCATTTAGGTCATCTTAATTCAGTCGCTCAATTGAACACTGTGTGTCAGGTACTATTCTAGGGACTACGCATACAGCAGCGGACAAACCTAAAACCCTGCCCTCACAAAGCTTACGTTAATAATAAGAGTGCAGCCCTGGCAAGTGTGGGTGTGGCTCAGCTGGCTCTGCACCAGCCCACAAACCAGAAGGCCTCCAGCTGATTTTCAGTCAGGGCTTTCCTGGTGGGAAGCAACCAATCTATGCTTCTCTCGCACATTGATGTTTCTCTCCCTCTCTCGCTTCCTCCCTTCCCCTCTTTCTAAAAATAAACAAAATCTTTTAAAAAATGCAAATTAGGATACAATCAATAAACTTCAAGTAAAAATTATGGAATAATAGTACAAATTGTTAGCAAAAATCAAAACATCATGTTGGAATGTAAGAATTCTACAAATACCTTAGCAGCAATTACGTGCAAATTTCCATTACACAAAGATTATCTACATTGAGAAGAAATTACTCTTATGAACACTATTACCCACTATAAAACTGAATATAAAAGAATTATTCCCAAATAAAGGCAGCATTCCATATTGTCCACCCTGAGAAATACAAGACATGCTATTAACATCTTTGTGAAAACTAACAGGAAGCTGATAGACAGATTTCTCACTCCAAACCAAACGAAGAAATCTCTATTTCTGTTTTTTAAATTTACAATAAATCATTTATTGCACCAAACAGCATATATGTCTATTATGTAATGTATTTATATCATAGTTAGGTAAATACAGGGTTAGATTACATTTCTGGAAGTGTAGAAGAAAGAAAGGAAAGAAGGAAAGAAGGGTCTTTAAATATAGTATGACACGATTAAACTGAGAAGAAAGAAAGTACATGGCATTTTACAGATATGTCGTTACTTGAAATTATGTGAGATGATTCAGTGCCCTTGTGCTTGGGATGCGGGTGAGACAGGAAGATGATAAAGACACAGAATTTTCCATCCAAGTACAAGTAGTGTAGGCAAATGTGCACAAGGAACTGTAACACAAGGCAGGCCGTGATGAGCCCTGTAACACAAGTCCGAAGGGCTGTACCAGTAAGGAACCGCCACTTACGGGGGCTGGGCTAAGTCCTTTAAGTCATTTCATTTAATCCTCTCCACAAACCTATAAAGTGGTTACTGGTATTCTTGTTTTACAGCAAAGATCCCAAAAGCATGGGGAAAGTTTAAAAACTTCCATGGCCCTGTGGAATAATAAGAAGGTGGAGCCCATGCACTTTCTACCATCCCCTGCTGTGGTCCAATAAACAAAAGAACAAATCCAAGTAAGGCATTTTAGAGGAGGTATTTTAGAGGAGGACTAGGACCCAATGAATAGGAGTCCCAGGGGCAAAATTAGAACAGAGGTTGTATAATTCCAGGGAAGAAAACAATTTGAAAGAAGGCAATGAAGTGGGAAAGTGCAATACACGTTAAGGGAATGGCCACCAGACGCATGGCTACAGCCCAGGCTGTGGGAGCAGTGCCACAGCGATGCTGGGGCCCAGGCTCCAGAATCAAAATATCCCTGGTCTGAATCCCGGGTCTGCCACTCAGTAGCTATGTTGCCTCAGCAAGTTATTTGGTCTGACTGAGGCTAGGTTCCTGAATGATAAAATGAAGTAACACCATCTATTTCTCAGGGTTGCTATAAGGATTACATGACATGAGCAAGTGGCCATGTGCTTGGCCAGTCATTCCAGACAAGAATAGCATAAGAAAATTACAAGTCAGTAACACAAGTGAACACAGATGCAAAAAATCTCAACAAAATACTAGCAAACATATTCAAAAATACATTAAAAGGATCATACAGCATGATAAAGTGGGATTTATTACAAGGATGCAAGGATGGTTCAATATCCACAAATCAATCAATGTGATAAACCAAGTTAACAAATGAAAGATAAAAATCATATAATCATCTCAACAGATGGAGAAAAGAATTTGACAAAATCCAACATTCATTTATGATTAAACAATCCTCTCAACAAAGTGGGTATAGAGAAAACATACTTCAAGAAAATAAAGGCCATATATGACAAGCCCACAGCTGACATCATATTCAATGATGAAAAGCTAAAAGCTTTTCTTCTAAGATCAGAAACAAAAGAAGGGTACCCACTCTCACCACTTTGATTCAACATTGCCTAGCAAGAGCAATTAGGCAAGAAAAGGAAATAAAAGGTATTCAGATTGAAAAGTAAGTAAAACTTACTATAAATAGTAAGTATCACTATTTATACATGACATAGTATGATATATAAAAAACCCTAAAGACTCAACCAAAAAAACTGTTAGAACTAATAAATGAATTCAGTAAAGCTGCAGTATAGAAAAATAAATATACAGAAATATGTCATGTATTTATACCCTAATAAAGAACTATCAAAAAGAGAAATTAAGAAAACAATCCATTTGTAATTGCATCAAAAAATTTAAATAGCTAGGAATAAATTAACCAAAGAGGTGAAAGACAAAACACTTGAAACTTATAAAACATTGATAAAATAAACTGAAAATGCAAATAAATGAAATGATATTCTATGCCCATGGACTGGAAGAATTAAAATTGTTAAAATATATATTCTGCCCAAACAATCTACAGATTTAATGCAATCACTACCAGAACTCCAATGGCATTTTTCACAGAAATAAAACAAATCCTAAAAATTTGTATGGAACCACAAAAGATCCCCAAATAGCTAAAGAAATCTTGAGAAACAAAAAAAGCTGAAGACATCATGCTCCCCAATTTCATAATTCTGTATTATGAAGCTAAAGTATTAAAGGAGTATGGTATTGATATAAAAACAAATACAGAGATCAATGGAACAGAATAGACAGTCCAGAAATAAATCCATGCATATGTAATCAATTAATTCACAACAAAGGAGGCAAAAATATACAATGAGGAAAGGGCAGTCTCCTCAATAAATAGTGTTGGGAAAACTAGACAGGCATGCAAAAAAAGAAAGTAATAATAATAAAACTAGATCACTATCTTACACCATACACAAAAATTAACTCAAAATGGATTAAAGACTTGCAAAAATAAGTGGGGCTACATCAAACTAAAAAGTTTGTGCACAGCAAAGGAAAGCATCAACAAAATGAAAAGGTCACATGCCAAATGGGAGAAAATATTTGCAAATCATATACATGATAAGGGGTAATATCCAAAACATATAAAGAAATCAATACAACTCAACAAAAACAACAAAATCTGATAAAAAATGGGCAGAGGATCTGAAAAGCCATTTTCAAAGGGAGACCTAAAAAAAGTACATGAAAAGGTGTTCAACGTCACTAGTAATCAGGAGAGTGCAAACCAAAACCACAATGAGTTATCACCTCACATGTTAGAATGGCTATTATCAAAAAGACAAGTAGGAAGGGTTGTTAAGGAACACGTATAAAGGACCCATGGAGAAACCTAAAGCTGGGTAGGATTGAGGATGGGAGGTGCAGGTGGGTGGGGTGGGAGAAAGTGGTGGTGGGAAAATGGAGACAACTGTACTTGAACAGCAGTAAAAAAAAGACAACAAATAACAAGTGTTGGCAAGATGAAGAAGAGAAAAGGGAACCCTTGTGCACTGTTGGTGAAGTGTACTACGGAACTGGTACAGCCACTTTGGAAAACACTATGCAGATTCCTCAGAAAATTAGCATTAGAACTACCGTACGATTCAGCAATTACACTTCTGAAGAATTATATTTGTTGGAAAAAAAAAACCCGAAAAACGAATACCTTGAAAAGATACAGACATCCCAATGCTCAATGTAACATTATTTACAATAGCCAAAATAGGCAGACAACCTATGTGACCACCAACAGATGAATGGATCAAATACAAGTGGTACATACACACAATGGAATATTACTCTGCCATAAAACCAAATGAAATCTTGCCATTTGCAACAACATGAATTGACCTTGAAGGCCCTGTGCTAAGTGAAATAAGTGAGACAGAAAAGACAAATACCATATGATCTCACTTATTTATAGAATCTACCAAAGAAAAAAGAAAAAAGAAAAAATCAAGCTCATAAGCAGAGAGAACAGATTTTCTAACAATGTGATGGGCATGGGACCATGTGCTTGGCCAATCAGTAGATCCTGCTCAGCATTTGGAGCAAGTCACAAAAAGTAGATGGTGAAGAATCCTTTCTGGTGGTGGCAGCAACATCTAATTCAGAGATTAGCTCTTGAAGCCTTCTCTGTCGACCCCAGGCAAAATAAATTCCTCCTTTGTTTATTCCTCCTTTATTTTGCCAGCTTCGTTCAGACACCTAAGGCTTGATCAACCTCAAGCTCTTATTCACATCTAACTTATTAGCTTATTTGAATTCCTGGCAACAATACCGATTATGATTTCAACCCACTCAGAATCAACATTTTTTCCTGTGAGTATTCTTTGCCACCCTTTGTTTCCCTGCTCCTTTCCCTCTTTTCTTGCAACATCTTTGTGGAGAGGTTGTGCTCGTTCCTTTTTTCTTACCCTTCACTTTTAAATTAGATGAGCTCTTCTGAAACACCTATTGCAAAAAATTCACATTGGAGAGGGCCATAGCAGGATTCTGTTATCAGAGATTCTCCCTGCTTTGTGCCAAAGTTCTTCATTTATATTTGTAAATTGTGTTAGCCCTTCCTTTTTCTCTGTGAAAAGAAGTTAGCTGCGCCAGTCTCTTTCCTACACCCTGTCAACAAGACAGGAGGAATGTCCATATCCTTTCATTTTTTTATCTCTGCCTACCTTGATATTCCTCAGTCCAGGAAAACATCCATTGTTCCACAGAAAGGGTTACTGGAGTTGTCTCTGAGGGAGTGCTTCCTACTTGGTATGAGATTTACAGCTGCAAAAATCCCTCTCACAGCCTTCCCACACCCTGAAGCATTTCTACATCCGACAACTCTTCCCCATTCTATTAGGAAGTTCTAAGTGTCTTTTAATGTAGTTAAAGATGGAGCTTGTCCTTGTTTCTTACGATCTTTACAGCTTTGAGTGGATTTCTAAGAGTAAAAGATAACAGACATGTCTTTATTATGCCACTAATAATCTTGAATGTTTTTTTCTGCAATCTAATGTTTTAGAGATGAATAACTTTTAGTATATTACGTGATAATATCTGCCTCCTCCTATTGCACCAAATATCAAACTATAATTCCAAGTGTGTGACTAAGATAATTATGTTTGTCTTTCAGCAGGGATTATATATATAATATTAACTTCTTCGAGACACAGAGGCCATTACTCCACATATCTATTTGTTAGGAATGATTTTTGGAGAGTTCTTTAGAGGCATGATATATACAAATTGACCATTTCTAGTCTTATAAACTATTTGACATATATAGACTGATGACCTAATGAACAAACCTGGTTCATTACTGGTACTAAATAAAAGTGTTAACATTTTTCTTAAAAAAGAAAATGAAAAAGATTACTCTTACCTGGATCTGATTCCGTAGCTGTTCAGCTTCCTGCCTCAGCTGTTCCAGTTCACTCATTTTTTTAATTTATTTACTCCGAAAGTAACAACACAAAACAACTGTAAAAAATAAAGAGAAACTAATTCAGTTCTCTCTCCATTCACATATTCATCTACTTGAAAAATATTGACATATAGCTTATTTTTGGTCCTTCTGAAACTCCAGTGAAATAGTCAATTGTCAGTAGAACATAAAACAGCCTTATTCCTTATCTTGAACAAGGGAGCCCTACTCAGCTGTTGCACACACCCTTCTGGCCTTCTTGTCTACCACTCTCTCTCCCTCACTCACTCTGATCCACAACTCAAAAGCTTTCTTGATGTTCCCTGAAGCACTAAGTAAGGTTCAGCCTCAGTGTCCTTACCCTGGCTCTTCCCTTGCCTGAAATGCTTTTAGCCCCACCCCCAATGTTTCCATTGCTTGCTCCCTTACCTCTGCTCCACTGTACATCTCAGAAGGCCCTTCGCTGGTAGCGCTCACGCACCCACCTAGCTCCCTCACCCTGTCTCCATAACGTCACTGAGGGATTCTGCACCATCTAGTTGTCTGTTTCCTCCTAGTGGGACATAAGCTCCTTAATGCAGGGACTTTGTTTGCTTTCTTCTTTGCTGTATCCTTAGTACCAAGAACACGTTATTCTCCAGTAAATAAGCTAACTTGGAATAGCTTAAGAAATAAAGGGAAAACTGTCTAAAGATTTAGGATGAATCACAGAACTAGAAGGCATGAATATTACTGCCTCAGGAGGAGACCAGAGGCTGAAAATTAGTAGTAGTCCTTCTCTAACCCCCCTATTTTTCTCTTCATATCTTTGTTTTTCCTCTTTCTCCAGAATAACTTTCTCTGCTTCTCTAAGCTCCAGGCTCAGCTTATGTCTCCTCAGCTCATTATCAGAGTCCAAAATGACTATCCGAACACCAAATTCCCATTAGAATATTTTTCGGGTACCCATCTTTCATTCACTTTAATTCTGAAGTGGTACTGAAATTGCCAACTAAAACAATTTTAAACTAATAATTTAGCAAAAATCAGTTTGATATAAGCTCTTTCAATTACTGTAGTTTTTTGACTAAGTTCTTCATCAAGATGAATATTTGATTCATTTAACCCATTTTAGAAAACTGTCACATAGTGGAAGCATTGTAAGTTGAGCAGAAAGCAGCTATCAGCTATCTTTTAAAAGTACAGCTGTACCAGTTACAAATATCAAATAATACCAATGAGCCACTGTATCCAAGACAATTTATTAAACAAAATGGAAAAAAATACAGTTGCATAATTCAAACTGCCTTTTTCCTCCACTTCTTCAAATGCCCACAGAATTTTTATTAAAGCAAGGCATTATGTAGCCTGCGCAATTATACTGCTGTGTTAGGGAACAGCTATTTTAATCTATAAGAGACAAGAAAATACAAATATCTTAGCTACAAATAATTTTCACTCTGATCATTAAAGCCTATAAATGAAAAAATATTTTAAATTGCACTTACATTTTAAGCATAAACTACTTCTGCTTACTAAATCTATTCATCAGAAAAGTTAATTTTAAGTTTATTACTATAATTAAATCTGTAACGTTCCACTTTTCTCTTTCAAATTCTGATCTATAATTCCTATACTTTGTAAAATTCAAAACACCCTAAACCTGTAATGAATTAGGTAAGGTACTTAAAGCTCTTATGCTCATTCTTACCAAGGAAATTAAACACACGCTTGCCTACCCATCCCAAGTATTCCTTATACAGATATTCCCAGGTGGCTTTCTTTCTCAAGAAGTCAGCCAACAAATTAGAGCTGCATGGGTGGATGGATAAGAGAGAAAAACAGAAGTTAGAGATGCTGAAAGTAGCACCAGCATTAAGCTTTGGTTTTTTATTTTGCTACCAAAGTCCTCATTACACTGAACACCTTTAAGTGCTCCAAAAGTAAACCAATTCTGTCTCTTGTAAAGTGAAGGGAGTCTGTTGGTGTTTCAGGAAACAAATAAGGTGCTGCTCTTAGCATCAGGTCTGTTGCCCTCCACCTCACTGGTATTTTCTGGCATCGTTCATTCTTTCACCAAACTTTGGCTGAATACCTACTATGTGCCAAGAATTGGGGCTACATGTGAATAAGACATAGTCCCCACTCTCCAGGGCTGTGCAGTCCAAGAAGAAAAACAGACGCACAGGTGCGTACTCACACAGGTCCATATCCATTACCCGAAGCCGTAGGGCCAGATGCATTTCAGAATTTGGAAGTTTTCAGATTTTATTTTTTAAATAAATTTTTATTTATTGAATTTAGAGAGAGAGTGAGAGAAACAGATTTTTGTTGTTCCAGTTATTTATGCATTCATTGGTTGACTCTTACATGTGCCCTGATCAGGTATCGAACCCACAACCTTGGGATGATGCTATAAACAACTAAGCTACCTGGCCAGGACTGAAGTGTTCGTATTTTTAAAAAGTGATGAATTGTTCGTATTTTTAAAAAGTGTGTTCATGGTATATCACATAACACCCTAATGGACCCTGGGGAAGCACCTCGCAAAATCAAGAACTCCTGCAGCGAAATGTAAGCACATTCACAATCAGAAGGGAAAAAATAGACTAGCAAGTTTCATGTTAGTTCAGGTCATGTTGTGGCACCAAAGGATTCAAATCACATAAAGTTTTGCCAGTAAATGATTTATTTTAAAAAATGCAGTTTCAAAGCATTTTGGATCTCCAAACTGTGGATAAGAGATCGTTAACTTGTAATATGTAAAAGGAGGATTAGCTGGTACAAAGGCACAACAACCCATAACTTAAAAGATACCAAGGAGGAGTCACCCAACCAAGAGATAACATTTATTGAATGCTTATTACTATGTGCCATGCACTATTCAAAACTTCTCATAGTGACTCATTTAACAACCTGCAATCAACCTCAGAAGGTAGGTGCTAATATCTTCCTCATTCTACAGATGAGGAAACTATGTGTTAGGAAGGTTATGGACCTTACCCAAGTTCATACAACCTAACAGAGCTGGAATGTGACTATAATCAGTCACTGTGTAATCCCAGAAATTGTTTAACCTGAGTCTCAATTCTGTTATGTGTACAGCGGAGACACCAGTATCTACCCCAGGAGATTGTTTTGTGGATTAAATAATATACATTTACAGAATGTGCTTGGAGCCCTGCTTGGTGTGGTTCAGTGGACTGGATGTCGAACCTAAAGTTTGCCAGTTGGATTTCTAGTCAGAGCATGTGCCTGGGTTGTGGGCCAGATGCCTGGATGGGGGTGGGGGTGTGCAAGAGACAACTGATCAAAGTTTCTCTCCCTCTCTTTCTCCCTCCCTTCCCCTCTCTCAAATTAATAACAAATACATAATCTTACAAGCAATCAATCAATCAATAAAGGAGGGCTCAGAACCATCCCAACACAGTCAGCCTACTCTTTAAACACTTCTCAGGCTGATACCTGCATCTATAAGATGGATCAATAGATATCATATAATCATACTTTAAACAAAAAAAGGAAAATAAATTATTACACCAGAAAGAATTCTCCTCACGGCCTCAGCACCCCAGTTAGGCTGCACCGTAGCTGCTTCTCCCTCTCCTTAACTCCTAGAGAAGTACTGGGGCCTCCTCCCTGACTCCAGGGCCTGTGTTCTTCTGTTTTCTGGGAGAGGCATGAACTATCCCTAGTCCATATGGACTCCTTCATATAGACCAGGATCTCTCACAGGGCTGGGAGAGGGAGAAAGACCTCAAAGGGGAGAGGGAACAGAAGGAAAAACATCTAATCCTTTGAAGGGCTTTCTCAAACTCTACCCGTCTCCTGAAGTTAACCTGACCCACCCCAACAGCACTTTGCCCACCTGCACTCCTATGTCTACAGAGAGGCACAATATTACTAATGTTATATACCCTTCGGGTCTGTAAGGGAAGAAACAGGGCTAACCTCTAATTTAACCAAATAGCTAATCAGTGGTTCTCAGAGGGTGGCCATCAGGATCTCAGTATCACTTAGGAAATTTTTTTGTTAAAAATGCAAAATTTTAGGCCCTTTTCCAGGCCTAAAGTAAAGAGTAAGGAACTCTGGGGGTGGAGCCCAGCAATCTGTGTTTAGGCGAACACTCCAGGTGATTCTGTGGATGCCTCCTGGAGTTTGAGAACAGAAGGTCTAAACTCTGGCTTACACAGGGACACGTTACTAAAGCCATTTGAGGAAAGTTCAAGAATGTATGTTCATACATTAAAAAGTTCCATTAGAAGCTAAATGCCATTTATATTATCCTGCTGGTCAAACAAAATATCTAAGTACTTAAAAAAAATAAAGTATTAGATAAAATTATAATTATAGAAAAATCATTCTCATTCTTATTGGTTTTAAATTTTGCTAAGTTATTTCCCATTTCTGAATTGTGGGGCGAAAAATGTTTCTGAAGTATGGCTTTAGCATGCAAAAAGAAGCAATGGAGAAAAAAACATAGAAGCTCCCATACATAAATTCCCTATATCACAACACTCAACTTTTTTACAGAGAAATTATAAACAATTATTTGGTGTATTTCAGGTGTTATTGTCCTTTTCCTCAAGGGAAACAACACATCTGGTAAAATCTTGAATTTTTTTTTGGCAGCCATTTATCACCTTTAAAATAATCTGTTTGTATTTGGTCCTGCTTTACTCTTTAAGAAATATAAGGATGAAATGAACACCAGGACTGGAAAAGACAGCTTAGGAATCAACCTGTCTTCCATCTTGAAATATCCAAGCTGTTTGAAAAGATAACTTGAAAAATATTTTTTAAAATTTAAGACTCAAGTGCATTAAACTTCATTATAATAGCAAAGTATATGAGAAAATACCCACTAAGGAAATAATGTTTCATGTATCTTTGGAATCAACTGAAAACACAGCTTGGATTCCAAAAGTCATTTAAAAAAAAAAAAAAGAACTTGTGATTAAATTTTCTTAACAAGACACAATATGATCAGTCCACACACAGTAATAAATCCATCAATAAGAAAACATGTTCTTATTTAGATATCATAAACCCATTTGCAGTGAACACCTTGGATACT